AGAGCTGAATTTTGATCCTTCCTCTATGGAAGGATCACAGAGCATGTTTTGATGGTGACAGTGACTTTGTAGGAGCTGGTTCAGTAGCTGAGGTGCAAGTTCCATTAGGGTGGCTGGAGCAGGTCCCCCTGTTCTGTCTGTGAACCCCTGGAACCCAGGGGAGAGTTCCAAACCAGACTCAGCAGATGGTGATACTGATACAGCCTTCATAGGCTTGTGAGTTAGAAACTCCTTGGGAGGTGTGTTTATATTGTGTATCATTGATGGATTTTTCTTCTGTGAATATTGATAGTTGCTTTTTGAAGCCTTAGAAGAGTTCATTGCTGCAAGAATCTGTTCAAAAAGCCATTGAGTGGGGTGGGGAAGGTGGATGTCCTGTTCTGTGTGTCTTTTAGGTGGAGGGAAGACAGCTTGATCTCTCCTGGCTCCTGTGAGCTGGCTGTGCAGGGAGGACCCTGTTCACCTCTGTGTGTCACCCGCAGTGCCCCACCCCTGCTCACCCATTCAGCAAACATCTTCTCTCTTGTAACCCACGGGCAGTTGGTAAAGCTTTCTTCCTGATGTGAACTGTTCTGGAAAATGCAGTGATCTTCTCTGTTCTGTTCTTTCTGTTCCCAGACAAGAAGCAGGAACATCTGTGTGTTCCTGGTAGCTACGTACACGGATGGGCGGCCGCCCGAGAGCGCCGCATGGTTCTGCAAGTGGTTGGAAGAGGCAACAAATGACTTTCGCTTTGGGAAGATGTTTCTGAAGGGCCTGAGATATGCTGTGTTTGGCCTGGGAAACTCAGCTTATGCTGATCATTACAATACAGTGAGTATCTGCCACTCATCTTTCTTTGATTTCTGCTCCTCTGGCAGGGCTGAGCTTCCCTAAATGCTGCGAAACAATTCCAGTAGTTTGTGGGAGAACTGCAGCCTTTTGTGGAGCTGCTGAGGGGACTGGGTTTTGGGCCCAGGCAGGGCAGTTTTGAAGCAAGTGTGCTGGCCTTTTAGCTGGGACAACGTGCAGTGCTGTGTGTTTGTCCACTCGTCGCTGTGCACAAAGCACCTTGTTCCCAGAGCTGCTCTCTTGCCCTGTCAGGGTGATGCAGAGGTGAAGGGGTGTGTGGGTGCTCAGCCTGCTGTGTGCCTGTGCTCTGAGGGGGTCCCCAAAGCCCAGACTTGCAGTCCTGAGCAGCCCCCCAGCTCTATTCCCAGGCTTGATCCTTGCTTGCTTAGTTGAACTTGGTCTCCATGGAATTTCCCTTTTAACTTGACTCCTGTCCCAGGTTGGGAGAAACATCGACCGGTGGCTGTGGATGCTCAGTGCCAGCAGGATCCTGACTCGTGCTGAGGGGGACTGCAACGTGGCCCAGAGCAAGCATGGCAGCATGGAGGCTGATTTTGAAGCCTGGAAAGCCAAGTTCCTCCATCGGCTCCAGGTGCTCTGCAGGGGGGAAAAGAAGCCCTGCAGTGGGAAGTGCAAGAAAGGGAAATGCAAATCCGCAGGGAAGCAGAGCAAGGAGAGCTCAGCTGATGAACACGGGGCATCAGAACACGAGAATACTGAGGTAAAGCCAAAATCCGTGGGTCTTATCTCTGGTTTAGTGCCCCTTGGAGTGTTATTTGACTTGTGTCCTTCTTCCTGCAGCCCAGAGGGGACTAGGGGGGCTTGATACTTGCTAGTTGTGGAGGGGAGGGGGAAGAGGGATGAGATCCCATGGTGGATAACAGGTAAAATAAGTCTTCCAAAAAGAAGGACCAAAGAATCAGTGATAGACCAGGCTACGTGGCATCTATAGGTGAGGGAGCTTTTCCCCTTGAACAAGGGGAGGTGTATGTTGTGGCAGATGGTCCAAGGGGCCAGTCTGGGTTCTCTTCACTCTTTGCTTGGCCTTGTGGCCCAGTGAAGCATTTGGTTTCCTGCCAGCAGTTCACCTGCTTTCAGTCCAACTTGTTGAAGCTTAGGTACTTTAGAAGAACCTTGTGCTGCAGGTAAAGGCAGCCGGGGGACGTTACCTGAGCAAGTCTTGAATGTGTCAGCCTCTAATGACCTGTGTGTCTTTCAGAGTGTTTGTTGATTGCATGTTTGGAATAAGAAATTCCCTCTCTTGCTCTACAGCACAAGATCCAGAGCTGCTATGGCACTTGAATCCTCCTTGCAGGCCATTTAGGATGGATTTGAAATGATTGCTGTGACCTTGTTCAGTTCTGTAGGAAAACTAAGGCTCTTGTGTCTGAATGGGTTTGAGAGCATTTGCTGCTGTAGGAGCAAGAGGAATAAATATTGCAGAGGCACCAGTGCTGTTGTGCTGTAATTGGCTGTGCACAGAAAGGGAGACAGCTTTTCTGCTCTGTGAAGAGTTTGACTTGGAAAGCAGATCTTTCATTCCCCCTTTCTTCAGGCAGGGGCACGTGGGGTTAAAGGGGTTTAGGCTTTCAGATTATTGTAGTGTTCACTGGGAGTTGGGCTCCTGTATGGCTTCTGTGACCAGACAGGCACATGAGTAAAGCAGAGTTGGAATTATCTGCCCCGAGCTTCAGGTGGCCTGAGGGCTACTGAACTCTTAAAAATACACATGGATAGAAGCCCCAAGTTTAAACGCATCTCATACATATTATACAGGCTATTGGGTGATTATCTGTAGGGTTTAGTTAGAGGGGAGAGTAGAATAGGAGTTGTTGGAGAACCTGTTCCAAAAAATACACTTCATACACGTTATTGGTGGCCTATTCCTTGCTTCCCAGGATTTACTGTGTGTAGGAGCTGATTTCACTGGTTAGCCTACATTAAGGTCTTGTAGATACATTCCTGATTTTGTTTTTTCTCTGATCTCTTGCACAGACAGAAGAGTTGTTTGACACCAGTAGTGAGGAGGAGGCTGGTGCTGAGGAAGCTGGAGGCACAAATTCTGTCATCGATGTGGAAGATCTCGGCAATATCATGAGCCACGTGAAGAAAGCAAAGGTACTATGGACCTGTCAGGCCTTTGTAACTGATCAGTTTGATCAAATCTTACCTGCTGTATTTGAATCTGTAGGGTCTGGCTAGAGGGAGGGTAAAATAGGAGCTGTTGAAGAACCTGCCCTGAAGAAGAACATGCCAAGAGGTCCGTTGTATGTAGTTACTGGCTGACTGTGACTTGTTCACTGAGCAAAGGCTCCAGTGGTAACCTGTTATTTTCAGTCTGAGGAAAAACTGCTCCCACAGCTATCCCTGAGCTCTGTGTGTCCATCTCCAGCACTGTGATACACAGTCCATGCTCTGAACCCAAACCCTGTTCCTATGTCTGCCCGTGGGTACGTCAGCTGAAATTCAGGTGTGTGTTGTGCTGGGGAGCAGAGCTGCAGCTGGGGTGGCAACTTGCTGCTGGGGGAGCTTGTGTCTTGCTGCTGGGGGAGCTTGTGTCTTGCTGCTGCCCTGAGGTGAGGTGCTGTGCTGACAGAGAGAGCCAGCGAGTCTGATCTGAGCTGTGCTGAGCCTGCCAAGAACAACTGTAACTCCTGCTTCGTTTCAGGATGTTACTGTCTCTATCCCCATGCTCTCCTGTCTACTTCTCTGTGGTCAGCCTGCAGACGGGATCTGCCAAACTCATTTACTTGGTTAGCACACAGAAAGGAGTGAGGATATACCCAGGCCCTGGGGGAAGCCTTAGTGTGCTCCCCATGCTGTCTGCTGGCCCAGCAGCTGGCAAGGGAGGGGCTGGCCTCAGGGTGGACCCTTCATGTCTTGTGTTGCCAGGACTGCTGACTGCTTCCCCCTTGGGGAGCTTTCTATGGTGGTGTCCCTCCTCCTGAAGCCTTGACCTGTTGTCCATGCCTCTCTCTGTAACTACACCTTCCTTATCTCCTATGACTCTGATGTGGACTTCTCACAGCTCTTTTCCAGTTCTTAACCATCTCCTCAGCAGTCTGAGCCGAGGTGACACCACTGGGCCACAGCAAGCCAGGGTGACAGGAGGCTGTGTGCTTAGGAGGCGGCAGATTCCTAGGGAAGTGTGGGGAGCTCAGTTTTCACCTCAGGGAGAGGGAAGCTGCATGTCACAAACTTGTTGGGAGAGCAGTCCCACTGACCTGGGGGCCAGGCTGCTGGGTGAGAGCCCTTGTCCCTCAGTTTGCAGGGACTTGGGGATTGCAGTTTGCAAGAGGAGGGTGGAGGAACCGTTTGGCTTTCCTTTGGAGGGAGAAAGGATCCATCTTTCTCCCTGGCTCCAAGTGCTGTGAAGCCTCCTCCTCTCCTCCCTGTGCTCACCACTAGAGGTCAGTGACTAACAGGGAACTGGGTTTGCTGGAGCAGCGTGTCCTGGGAGCTGCTTTGAGAGCAGGGACGGGAGGTGGTGTCATCCAGCAGTTTTATAAAAAATGTGGCATGGAGTTTTCCCTGACTGACAAAATATCAGAACACCATGACCAAAGGGTAGTGTGAAGCCAGGGCAGCATGTATCATAGCCCAGCTTATGGAAACATCAAGCACAGCAATGATGGGTTTCCTGTTCTTGCCCTCTCATGTGTCTGGTTCTGGTGGTGAACATGACTGAGGTCAGTGTGGTTTGGTTTTATCCACAGGCAGTGAAGTTCTTGCTGGCCACCATTTTGGCTGATGCATGAGTTGAACAACTGCTTTCTTGTTGAGCTCTGAGAGGCCTGTGTGTACAGGGCACTCACTGCAGAAGTGCAGGTATCTCCAGATCTGGTTCTAGTGGCTCTGACTGCAGTGTCCCCTCTTGCCTGAGGGGGCAGCTTTTGTCTGAGCACAGACACTCATCTGCAAGCTGCAGTTTCTGCTCTGCTGCCTTTCCCTTGGAGTACCTGGTGAACACTTGTTCTGTCCTGTCAGCTGAGTGCTGCCCACCTGCCTCTGCAGATGGAATCCTGAGAGTGCCTGTGGGACAACAGCAGGAGTGGAAGTGCATGGAAGTGTCCTGTTCTTTTTGACATGAGCTGCTGTCAGCAGGTGAGACAGGAGGCCCTTAAACTGTGGATCAGCCTTTCTCTGTGGCCAGTGCCACAGATCTGCACTGCTGCAGTCATGTCCCAGTGGGTTGGGTTAATTTTGAAACGTGAAATGATGTTGTTCTGATTGATGTCCCCTTTATTCCCATCCTGCATGTTGCATCTGCTTAGCTGCAATTTCCATTTCTGCTGTACCAGAGCAGGTAATGCAGAAGGGACCCTCAGCTGTGACTTCTATGCAAACTCTCAGCTCTCTTGAATGGATGTTAAGAGGGCAGGGACAAGCTCTTGTCACTTGTGCCCTGGGACAGGACGAGGGGCAATGGATTCAAACTGGAGCCCAGGAAGTTCCACCTCAACATGAGGAAGAACTTCTTTCCTGTGAGGGTGACAGAGCCCTGGGACAGGCTGCCCAGAGAGGCTGTGGAGTCTCCTTCTCTGGAGACTTTCCATACCTGTCTGGATGCCTTTCTGAGTGCCCTACCCTGGTTTTGGTCCTGCTCTGGCAGGGGGGTTGGACTCAATCTTTGGAGGTCCCTTCCAACCCCTGACATTCTGTGATTCTGTACTGGGGCTGTGGTTTACAGCCTGCTGGCAAGATGGAGCTGTGTAAATATTCCAGGTGGGAGCCTGAACTGATGGCTCTCAGTATCATTAGTTGGGAGAAAGGATGATTTTGTGTTGGTGGAGAATCTCCTGGGGAAGGAGCACACGGGCTCACAGCGGGTTTATGCAAACACTTGAATTGTAAAATGGCCCCGTAGGTGTGGTTATTTACTATAATGAAAATAAATGCTGAAGACTTGATAGGAAAGAGCAGAAAGATCTGCATTTATGAAAGTAATTTATCTTCGGGCTCTCTAGCTCCCAGGCAGGAAGATACAATAGTTTAAATGCAGAACATCTCTGTTTCTTGAGTCACATCCTCACTTCAGAAGCTCTGAGTTTGTGCAATGAGAATTTTCTTTTTTCAGATGGCTCATGTTGTCCCTTTATCCCCTTTTTCTCTTGCAGAATGGTGAACTGTGTAAAATTAGTCTGACACCTTTATTTTACACTATTTTGCAGTAATCCCTACCAGTGCAGGCAGGTGCTCTGGGTCCTTGGATCTGAGCTATCCTCATACAAGCAAGTTTAAAGAAAACCTATGTATTTTGGGTTATATCACAGACACTTCATGTCATATCATATTACATCACAAACTCTGCCCTGGTGAGACCTCACCTGGAGTACTGTGTCCAGCTCTGGAGACCTCAACACAAGAAAGTTGTGGACCTGTTAGAATGAGTCCAGAGGAGGTGATGAAAATGATCCCTGGGCTGGAGCAGTTCTGCTCTGGAGCCAGGCGGGGAGAGTGGGGCTGTTCAGCCTGGAGAAGAGAAGGCTCCAGGGAGACCTGAGAGCACCTTCCAGTGCCTGAAGAGGCTCCAGGAAAGCTGGGGAGGGGCTTGGGACAAGGGCAGGGAGGGATGGGATGAGGGGGAAGGGTTTTAAACTGAAAGAGGAGAGATTTAGGTTGGAGATCAGGAGGAGATGCTTTAGTGTGAGGGTGGTGAGACCCTGGCCCAGGTTGCCCAGGGAAGCTGTGGCTGCCCCATCCCTGGCAGTGTTGAAGGGCAGGTTGGATGGGGCTTGGAGCAGCCTGGGCTGGTGGGAGGTGTCCCTGCCCATGCAGGGGGTTGGAACTGGATGATCTTTAAGGTCCCTTCCAAATCAAACCATTCTTTGATTCATCTGCAGAGTTACCTGGAATGTGCCCAGCAGTTCACAGCACAGGTTTTGTGCATTTCAGTGTTGGGTGGGAGATAGAATAGCAGGTCCTGCCTTATGCAGTGGAGTTAACTTGAAATGTTTAAGGGTCCAGCTTTAATCTCCCTTGCAGGCATGTGTTGCCTCTTGTGAGAATCACTCACACTAAGACAGATGGGCAGTCACACTCATAATTCCATGTTGTCCTGCCTTCTATGGGCTTGCAGAGTGAGGCTGTGAAGGTATGTCCAGTGAGTGTTTGCTGAAATCTTTGCAGGTGATCTTGGTCGATCCATTTCCTGCTGTTTGACTTGATCAAAGTCAAGCCTGAGTTTTGTTTCACAACTTTTCTCCCCATGTGCTGCAGCTTCATTGCTTTTAATTGTCAAAGGGCTTAAGACAGCTCCTGGATTCTTGCAGTCATTTGTATCAGGCAGCTGGAGTCAGGAATCTGGTCAATACTAGAGCCTCTCTTCCTCTCTTCCTGGTGTAGTTGTAGCTATTACTCTCCCTTGGAAAATAAATGGATTTTAAAAGAGCTTCTGAAAGTGAAGGTGCAGAACTGAATCTGAGCACAAAAAGTGGTGTAAAGAGAAGGGGGGAGCAACAGGAAATCTTTCCAATATATAAAATATGACTGATAGGTAAATTCTTTACCAGATCTCATGTTGTGTGGTGATGACTGCTCCAGAGCTGATAAAATGAGCCCTTTTTTCCTGAGTAAGTGTATGTTTGGAACTTGTTGCAGGTGGTGCTTGTTAGGGTCCTGAACTGGACTCAAACCTTTACAGGGGTGCAGAGAATGCCTGCACTTCCCTGAAGTTCAGCAGTGGGCACTACAGGCATGGCCCCAAGGGGGGCTGGGGGCTCCATCCAGCTCAGAGGTTGCTTTTCTTGAGTGCCTGATGACTCAGGGCTGTGGAACCAGGCTGGGTTGGGTGATGCCCAGTGAGGTGGGTTAAGGGCTGGGCTCTCTCTGTTTATTGCCCTTCCAGCCTGTTTTTAGGCTGAGAGCCTGGGCCTCTTCTCCAACTTGTTGTTATGGTGGTGGTTCTTAGTGGATTTAATAACTAAGTGGACTCTTAAGTTGTACAATTGTGGCACATTTTCCCTGTCCTCCAAAGTAACTCCCCTGAAATGTACCTATCAGATAAAATGTCAAATCTAATGGCTATGTTTGTGGCCTGCAGGACTGCTATTAATCATAGGGACACCATTTCTTAATGCAGATTATCTCCCACAGCTGGGAGATTTTGATAAACTAGA